CCTTGCCGATTGCGACGGTACGTTCCTCCGAAACGCTGATATATTTCTTATTATTTTATGTTTCGACGGTACAAATTCAGGAGGCAAACAGTTCTCATCTGTCTTCATCCGTTAATGGATTGTAGCAAAGATTATGTAATACTGGGAACGACCCGTTCTTCAAGTGCCTGAGCACTGTGGGTCCCAACTTTTTGTTGGCTTTGATCTATGGACATTTTGGTAGGACTCCTTGAACGAGGGATCGGCCCGTCGCAAGGCCTCTACCTGTATACAGGACAGCACAACAAACATCCATGGCTTAAGTGGGATTCGAACCCACGGTCCCAGCGACCAAGCGGAACAAGGCCCACGCCTCAGAAATGCATTTTTGCCAACTACGTGGAGTCCCACGAAACTTGGAACTGCCGTCCGTACTCTTTTGCAACAGCTGTTCTGCGTCATGATTAACTCATTCCCCGGTAATTCGCTCCCTGTTGTTGCGGTTCGCTTTCGTGGCGAGTTCTACGTTAAGTGGGACACACTGTACACACTTTAGAAGTTGAAGTGCAGTGTTTTGAGTTGTAGGCCTGTTACTTATTAGATATTGATGAATGTGTGAGTGATTTAAAGTGTATATGTTGCGATAGCGGAGTCGGCGCTGCGGTCAGTAGGCCTGCTGGTGGCTCCAAGGTCACAGTCGTGTCCACCGCCCAGACGCAGAACGGTTCCACCTCGACTACGACCACGACGAACTCGACGTCCGACGCCGACAAGAAACCGCCATATTCATACGTAGCCCTGATCACCTTGGCGATACAGAACAGCCCCCAGAAGAGGGCAACCCTGTCCGAGATATATGCGTACATCTTAACCAACTTCCCGTACTACGAGCAGAACAAGAAGGGCTGGCAGAACTCGATCCGCCACAACCTTTCTCTTAATAACTGCTTCATCAAGGTACCTCGAGAAGGCGGCGGCGAGCGCAAAGGATGCTACTGGATACTAGGTATGCTTTTGTTTGAGCACGTACGTAATTGAACAAGAAGAAGAATGACGTTTTAGAGGGTTGCTCTGTCTGCATTTGCAGGTTACCTCCCCTGTATGGTCCATTTCATATAGCCCAATGACATTTAGGAGAAAACTGTGTAAAACACCATTTGGAGGAAAGCAGGAACCCGTGAAGAATGGAACAGAGACCTACTTTCAAAGCTGATGGACGCTCAGCTGGCAGTTAAACCCACCTTATAGACGGAAATCTTCATCTCTTTTGCACACTTTGACTTTGAAGCTACCCCACAATTATAAATGTGTTCTTGTCACTGTGTGCTGTTTTTTACGGGCGAGGTTTCGTTAGTTTTGCAATTTTTGGTGTCCCACAGACTCGCAGTCCGGAGACATGTTTGAGAACGGGAACTATCGTCGACGGCGCCGAATGAGGCGTCAGTACCGCTCGACTTCCTACACCAAGCCGTTGTACGGAGACACACCAGGGTTCCGCGGCCCAGCCCGCCAGTTGCCCTTGGGAACTCGTAACCTATTCCGAGCGCCGTCGGCGTACCCACCGCCGTACACGCCATACGACCCGAGGTGAGTTAACTCTAACATCGACAGTCACTTCTTTGAAATTTAGACGAGATGACGTACGACCTGAGGTGAATTCAGTTCATGACTGCTCGTATGGAATTTGGACGAGACTAATAAGATGTGATACTTGATTTTATATATGGAAAATTAGTTTCGTTTGGTTTCAGCGCTGCTTGGTCGCTGCAGTCGCCATATCCTCCGTGTCAGACCCGAGGCGCCCCCAACCCCACAACACACACCCAAAGCTTCAACCCTTACAGCCAGTTCCAGTCACAGGTAACGTTAGTTCAATCCAAGTGCAGTGTAGCGTATAATTGTTGAGGCTTTGACGACCTCGGTCACAAAGTATCGAGTTACAAGGTCTACAGAGTCTTGTTTCATCGCTTTACTGAGCGCAATTAAAACATATCATGCACGCAAAACTACGAAAATTACGGCCTGGAAAATAGAGATGAGGTCTTCTCGTGTATGACGTCGTTAAAAAACCACCTACAGAGCTACACGGCGTCACAACTCCGAAACAGGTTCGTACGAGCGAAATTTCTTTATGCGACGTCGTAAATCGAGAACTGACTGCGGGCTTTTGGTTCCAGCTGCAGCCAGTGCAGTCCATGCAGATCTCGGCCACAATGAATGGCTACAACCAGACGCTCACCACCGCCGGCCTAGGTAAGGAACAAGACGACTGACTCTTAATTGTCCTGAACCAGAAATACAGCTGTAACAATTCCGAGTGTAGTTCAGTGCAGTGAACGAATTACAAATAGAAGTGAAATGTGCTCCAAAGCACGTATGACTGGTTTTGTTGCGGGTTTGTGTAATGAATGAGGATATATTTTGAGCCACGTACAAGACGTAGTTTTGCTAAGCAATAACTCAAGAATTGTTACATGACAGGCGTAGGGACTGCCACGGCTCCTGGGTTCGGATCTGGATTTTCCCCCTGCAGCCGACATCATGACCCCGCTACAGCAGCCGCCGTCGTCGCTGCCGACGCCATGCGTTATTCCTATTGGCCAGAGGGTGAGTAATATTCCTCGAGGCTACACCCCGTCATCTTTTCATAATAAGTTGTTTTATGCCTTATCAAGTTCGAAAAGAAAAATCTGGTTCCAGGAGACTGCTTTGCCGGAAGGAGGTTCTCGCCGATCGGAATGTATTTTTTGTATATTTATTCTTTTTGAACTATTCAGGTCGTCGTTTACATTCGGCGGGAAATGAGCTTTCGCCGTCCGCCAATTTCTGGGCAGAAAGACCCTGCTAAGATTCAGGCTGTGGAGTGAACGTAGTGAATTTTGCTGTACTTTTTTGAATGGTAAAAAAGCAATTTTTTACACCTCCTCATTAGAAATATCCTCGGATATATTTCGACAGAATAAGTTCTGTAGTTGATTAATCGTTGCTGAAGTACATTATGGTCAGTCATATTTGTCGACTGGTGGTCATTTGAATTTGTGAATTATTCCAGTTCTTTCAGCTTGACGTATTTAGCTTAGTCGAAACGTCGACTTGCCGCTGTTCCCGTATTCAGCCTGGTGTTCAATTGTTTCAGTCGTGGTGAGTGATGGGACGGGTGCCGCAACGTCTGCTGGCGGCACCTTCACCGGAGTCGACTTCAGCATCACAAGTTCTTCGCGGCCAAAATGCTTTATGTGAATAATTGTGTAATAAATCGAAGTAGTCGGCGATACAAACCGTTGCGGATGTTTACAGATGGCTTGTAAAGTCTTGTCAAATGATTTCATTCACAAACTTATTTATTTAAATCAAATTAAATTCTGCTCGTGTGTTAGCGTTGATTTTCTCATTTTATAGGATAAATTGTTTTTAGTTCGGTGATTTTGTATACTTGTCAACGTCTTAACCGAGTAGTAAAAAAAAATAATACGCTAGAGGTAACGAATTCAGGTGTCGGCCGCGAGTTTCCGTTCTTAGGTTTTTATCTGTGATGTTCGTCATTTGTTATGAATGTTAGCATATTCCCTTCAAATCGGCTGCAACAGTTTCCGAATTCTAACGAACTACACGTGACATTAAACTACATAATCGGCGAATAATCCATTAATCAGTAACCCACTTTTTGATCATTGATGTTTTCTGTTATGTTAATCATTGTCACTTCCTTTATAGACCATTTCGCTTGTTTGTTGTTTCCAATTTCTTTGTCAAATCCGAAGACAACGGCTTTCCTTTGGTGAGTTCGTCTCCGAAGTCGGTGTCACGTCACATTAAATTAGTATTATAAATGCTTTTATACTTTTAATTATGCTAACTTTTAAACAACTTAAACGAAGAACGAAGGCAGTGATTTTAAACCTGGGAAAAATATAATTTCCATTGAGTTCAAAGATTAAAAATTTAAAGTTTAATGACTTGTTTAGTACCGTACATTCGATCAACATAAATGTGCATTCATAGATAAAAATAATTGATTACTTAAACAGTTTGTATTAAATAAAATTTATTATTATATTAATCGTATCATCCATATCAGTACATTCATTTATTTTGGGTCCCTAGGAAATTAATTTTAATGACCACTCGTATTTTTACTTATTAGTCTCCATGGTCTTACGAATTGTTAATAGCCCTAATTTTTAGTAATGCCTTCGCCAGTTTACTTACAATTCCCTTGTGATGTTTGGAGTTTAGTTATCTCCTTTCTATCTATACAAGTCATTAAGTAATATTACTAATAGGTTTCGACCTACACCCCCACAATTTACCCGTGATATAAGAAGTAAATTTCATTTATACATGTTTTAATTTGTTTTGTTTAATTTTAAAACAGAAATTATATGTCTGTGTTAATAGTTTTTTATTCTTATAGATAACTGTAATTATGTTTGGCAGATGTACATTGTGCACAAAGATCCTATTTGTAACTAGAACGAGGACCTCAAGTGAGGTTCTTAACTGTATCTACGTAAGTAATCGTGACTTCAAAATAGAGACCCTTTAATCAGTAAATTCCATCCGTCATTAATATTCCGTCCAGTAGATTTTTGTTCTGTTTCTGGTTTCAGATCAGAGCCCGTTAAATTCCTTCACTGTAACAATGAAAGCCATTGGATGTAAGATCCTGATATTATGTGTGTAATCATTGGGTAATACATGAAGGAAGACCTTGGTTGAGATTTTTGTTGAAATAAGAGAATTTGTATTGTTGAGGTCTCTACTTTTTCGAACTTTGAATGATTGGTGTTGTGATCGTGGTAATTGTGCAAGTAAGATATTGTATATTGAATAAACGACTTGGCGTTGTGTTTCTTCCTAATTCAGAATATTGTAAACATCAACATTCCGAACCATTTAACCTTTGTTATATGCGTGTGTGTAGCGAAATTATATATTAAATGTGTTTCCATGGCTCGTTTTAAATGAGAAAATTGAGAACCACCAGTTTTGTTTTTATGTTGGTAGTTATTAAGTGCTACAGGTATGTAGATGGCGCATCGGTGCTGTTTGTGCGAATTTCGCTTTTCTAATGTTTTGTGACATCGCAAACTAGTTCAGCCATCTTCGGTACAGTGACCGAGGAAACGTTTAATGCTAGACAGCTTTCTCGCGTGTTTTTGTTTTCCCGGTGATGGTGGGAAGGAAATGTATCCCGTTTACAGACTTTTGGTGGAGTGCTGCAAAAGAGACGCTGAAGCTACGTGGAGACAAGTTGCTTTCTGAGCAACATCGCGGGATTCAGGAAGGTATGTAACCTAAATTCATTTCGGCTCTAAGGAAAATTATAATTTTCTGGAGCAGTCGATGAATGTGGGTGTCATGAGATAGCCTAATCGTAAATCATTTCTAAACCATACGATCACAGCTGGTCAGTAAATAAATAATGTGACTTGCACTGCGTGTAATTCAGTTTAATTTACAAAGAATGGACCCACTCAGTCTGCACTGTATACCACCGTACAACAGCATATTTATTATTAAATGGTTAACTTTAATCGTTATTGATAAAAGTCTTCTCGGGCTATCAGCCGAGTTAGATGTTGATTAATCACCGACGTTTCGAGGACCATCTCTGTCCTCATTTTCAAGGCTCGTAGCGCGAACTGGTTTAATTGTCCATCATATATTTAATCGTCATGTTAAACCATTAATATTCTTTATTGCCTTACACGTTTTAAACCCTTATGATAACGTACGAGTGTGAGAAGACGGAAAACAAAATATATAAAGCAGCAGGTGTCAGATTATTGCTTACCACATGACCGCAGTCATTTTAATGCGTGCCCCATATAACTACAGCCTGTTGTGTTGGTAGCATGGCTTTTTTCCGGAAGTTAATGAAAATCAATCGATGGTTCAAAAGTTACAAATAATGCACAACTTTATAGCAATCTGCTGAATATGGACTTGCGTGGAAGATACATTGAAACAAACAGTAATCGACTGAGTGTCGTTGCTAGGTTTTTGCAGTACTGAATGTACTGTCAGCGATAAAAGCAGCTATGTATTTTGTTGTAAACAGAACTGATTTACAGGTAGGCAATTCTAAGACGGAGCACGTTGTAATAACGTGCTATAAGAACCTCTTAGAATATCGTCGTGGGTAACAACAGGTTAAAAATCGAAAGACTTACAACACGGTGTGTCGCTCATGCTTGTAATTCTGCGACGAGATTGCCTTACATTAGTTCGCAAGTTATAAAACGGTTTAGGGAGGCCAGAGCAGACCGAAGTAATGAGGAAAACGATGACGCGAACAAAGTGACTGAATGAAGAACGTGATATTTGCTTATTCAGTTGGGAGTTTCAAAATAAACGAGGATCAGTGTTAGTCAGCACTTGCCACGGTATTTACCCAACAAAAATACTACCTGTCCTAAAAACACGAATGTGACGAAATGTGGTTTACATAACGCCACTTGTTGGTTGCTCCTTGCTAAGTCAATGCTCGTCAGACAGAACGCAAGGATGTTTGCTAATACTCTGCTGTGAAGAAGTCTCCTGACTTTTACACAAGACCCTCTGGTGTACTACCACGGAACATGATTCTCGTCATGTTTGCACCGATCATGAGTTATCGGGATTTTCTTTCATAAACATTGGCAAGAAATGTGATTTTTATATATGGAGCCAACAACTTAAACTTGGCACCGAAAGGTTTAAAACGAGCTTCGTTTTCATGCTGTTTCCGGGTTGAGGTCTTTCCCCTAGAGGGATCTCGTTTCGGCTGTTCCAGGCATCTGCAAAGCTCATGTTTTCTGCGTGATCCAGTAGCGTTGGCACTTCTCTCGTGTTATCCAGCCACCCGTGAGGGGGCTTCTTCCCCCCTGTACCGAGGATTGAACCGGGTTCCCACAGGAAGAAGCATTGGGGAAGGGAAGAAGGGAAACATGAGTTTCCTTTCAAGTGTTTGACCTCTCAGTATCAAAAAGGTGTACAGGTCATGTTCCCGGCTTTCCACCCACAGACGACGTCTTCGAGGTTTTCCGGACGAGCACAGTTCCCACAAGCACGCCAGAGGATGAGAAGCTTTAAGTTTATCTTGCTAGTCCATCATTCACAGTCTTATTACCGATCAGAGATTGGCTGCATAAACCATGCAGCTGACAAGCCGTAGTTAAATAAACAAAGGCTCCAATTTACCATCAGACTTGACGTTCTGTTGCAAAGCTAATGCAATGGCTCAAGTTTATGTTTCTTCTTTTTTGTTTTTGTTTTTTAAATTTCAAACTATGCATGGATATAATTCAGTTCGGTTTAGTTCCTTCATTAGAGTGTTTGCCAACTGCAAACAGTCTTTAACAGTCAGACGCTAATAGAAATTTACATCACTAATAACAGGTTTGAGCAAACTTACATTAAAACAATCTATACACTTATACGTTTTGAGAAAATATCAAAGGGGACAACGTTTTTTGCTAAATTTGTCAAAAAATTACGTATATCTTCAGCAGCACTGGCTGAAGGTCTGTCTTAACGCAATGGTCGGACCAAAAATAGAAAGAATTCTGTTTTCCTCGCAGGTACACGAATATCAGCAGTGTCTATGATGGAACGACAATTTATTTTACCTTCAAATAATAAGAAATAAATCCTAGATGGGAATTTTGTTTTTTGAGAGTGGAACTGCTACTTTGACTTCTAAGTGTCGTAATGACCAAGTATTCATTCCCTATGCGGGGTCGTATGGACCGCCTGAACATGAGCTGTGCCGAATGATGAATTTTGTCAAGTGCGTCTCTGCGGTAATTAACGGCCGTCAGCTGTTGAAGGTCTGAAGACGGGGCCCAACTCGTCTGTGGCGTGCGAAAGGTTCGGGTCGATCCAGTGACGCACACGATAACCGCCCTTATAGGCTTGAGATTTGCAGGTGTTTATAGAAAATTCATGCAGAAGTTCTTTAGATACTATTCTTACGAAAACGATATGAATCTAATTACCAGTTGATCTATATGGATTATATGCATTTACGTATGTACGTTGGTAACCACAGTGAACATTCTAATACCGCGTTGTCTTCAAACCGATGAAAGAACTTTGACTTGGCAATACATTTGATGATGCGTTGATGTCCATGCATTGCATAGTCAATACTGAAAACAATGTAGGTCGGACGATTCTCTTACTTCTGGTATAAAGAATACCGGATATTCTGTTTGAAAAATTGTACAGGTGTCCTGTGACTTTTCGCTCTTTCGAGTTCAGCGAATTTGACGCCGTATTCTTTTTTGTTTTTGTTTTTTAAATTTCAAACTATGCATGGATATAATTCAGTTCGGTTTAGTTCCTTCATTAGAGTGTTTGCCAACTGCAAACAGTCTTTAACAGTCAGACGCTAATAGAAATTTACATCACTAATAACAGGTTTGAGCAAACTTACATTAAAACAATCTATACACTTATACGTTTTGAGAAAATATCAAAGGGGACAACGTTTTTTGCTAAATTTGTCAAAAAATTACGTATATCTTCAGCAGCACTGGCTGAAGGTCTGTCTTAACGCAATGGTCGGACCAAAAATAGAAAGAATTCTGTTTTCCTCGCAGGTACACGAATATCAGCAGTGTCTATGATGGAACGACAATTTATTTTACCTTCAAATAATAAGAAATAAATCCTAGATGGGAATTTTGTTTTTTGAGAGTGGAACTGCTACTTTGACTTCTAAGTGTCGTAATGACCAAGTATTCATTCCCTATGCGGGGTCGTATGGACCGCCTGAACATGAGCTGTGCCGAATGATGAATTTTGTCAAGTGCGTCTCTGCGGTAATTAACGGCCGTCAGCTGTTGAAGGTCTGAAGACGGGGCCCAACTCGTCTGTGGCGTGCGAAAGGTTCGGGTCGATCCAGTGACGCACACGATAACCGCCCTTATAGGCTTGAGATTTGCAGGTGTTTATAGAAAATTCATGCAGAAGTTCTTTAGATACTATTCTTACGAAAACGATATGAATCTAATTACCAGTTGATCTATATGGATTATATGCATTTACGTATGTACGTTGGTAACCACAGTGAACATTCTAATACCGCGTTGTCTTCAAACCGATGAAAGAACTTTGACTTGGCAATACATTTGATGATGCGTTGATGTCCATGCATTGCATAGTCAATACTGAAAACAATGTAGGTCGGACGATTCTCTTACTTCTGGTATAAAGAATACCGGATATTCTGTTTGAAAAATTGTACAGGTGTCCTGTGACTTTTCGCTCTTTCGAGTTCAGCGAATTTGACGCCGTAATATGATGTGAATTCTTTAAATGTTGTTTGTGTAAAGTAAAAGTTATTAAAATATTTGAAAAAATATTTTATAGTAAAAAATAGACATTGAAACCAAAGGATCGAAAAAATCGAGTTAAAATTACCCGACCAGTTATTAGAATGCTAATATCGCGGAAGTTGGGAGGTTCTTGTATTCAGGGCTGAAGATGGCAGAGTATGTTCATCCGAAACGTTGGTGGCTACTCCAAGTCCATACGTCGATACAAGTCACAAGACCAGCATCGACAGAAGTTCCTCTGCATTTTGACTGACCTGGACGTATGGAAGTGCAGGTGGCTGTTTTGCCGACTCCAGCTGTCGGTAAATACTTTATTACACTCCAACACTGATGTTACGCGCATTAAGAGCTTCCTCGACAGCGTTCGCGGTGCTTCAACAAATTAAGATGGCACTTTGCAGCCCCTTCTCCCCTCCGGCATTACTGAAGGCTCCTGCATACGACCACCTTCACGGTCCCTACAACGGGTCAACATTTTAATAGCAATGACAACTACGTCTACTTCTAATACGGCGTTAGGGGAGAATTTTATCTCGTAAAAATAGAGTATGGAAGCTTTTGAGCTTCTGTGTACAAAAACAATGTTGTTACATAAGAGACAAATCAGAATTTTTTCCTGTCAAAACGTTCCAGTCCGAATTTGCATCAAGTGCAAGTCAGTTTTTAAGTCGGTTACTGTGTTTGCAATTGCAACTAGCTGTGAATGAGGCTGCTTTTTATCCATACTAATTTTCAGAGAAATGAATAGATAGGTCCGTGTATTTTCTAACTATATTTTAAAACATGTTATACCGTGTCCAATGCTGGTCTTCTGGCTTCAGACGTCGTGTGGACTTGGTGGTTACCAATGTTTCGGGTAACGTTGAAGATGCCAGTTTGTTATGAACTTTTCGTACTGCAGATTGTCACGCTTTGGAGACAATGTTTTTCTCACTTTATTTCATCAAATATTTGGCATATAAAATATATAATATAAATCAGGGCCTCAGAAGCAAAATAATAGCATCAAAAGACTTTCTTTCTATCTAGGTAACAGGCTATGAACTGCAATATTGTAATATCATTATTTCTTAATCTCCATAAATTATATATTCGTTTTAATTTGATATTTGGAAGTCTTTCTCAACCCAAATTTTTGTCACGAATATTGACTACTTTGCTTCAGTTATTTTAGATCGTAATGAAATCTGTATGATTTTGAATAAATAAATAGATGAAACTGATTTGAGCTTCATTTATAGTAGGGGTTACGCTTGAATAACAACGAACATAAAAATTTGCACATGAACCTTACCAAATTTAATCTAAATTCGTTGTTTGAGCATGATACACGCGGGTGGACGTACTACATGCCCGTCTCTTCATAGCCCGTGTTCACTTTGTACCGTTTGGACAAAGAAATAAGTGTCGGACCGGCAATATCTCGTTGGCCTGCTCTGTGAATCGGATCAGAGTACAGGAGGGGACTATTTTAAGGCAGGCAGCACAAAATTCCTGTTTCTCCTCCCAGAGGAGTCCCCGTTAAGTGTGGAGGGTTCTTCAGCTGGCGACCGTCAATCAAGCGAAACAGCCTGCAGGAAGTAGTAGCCGTGCCGAGAAGTTATCAAGGTGACACGCTCTCTGAAACTCTAGTAACACATTCTAACACCCTTTAAATATAAATTATGGGAGAGGACAGTAACTGGAAGAAATTGCCCAATTTTATTTTTCAAGGCAAAGTTATACGTATAAATAATTATGCGTTAAAAATAATGAAAATGTAATATAATTGGAAAATGCAGAGAGTTCAAAATATTTGCGAAGAACGTTATCAAATCATTTTACCATGCTGAGAATGGCTTACTGCCGTTCAGTTCAGAACATTTGTTTCCCAATCATGTGCGTGACACTTGGCCTCTCACCTGAAAGAATAACGTTGGCTGAACGTGTGTGACGACAACGTGCCGAGGAGGCTATTTGAATGTAAGGAAGAGGAAATATGTGAATTATGTTGGATCAGATTTATAGGGATGCTGCTTCATCGACAGATCTAAATTTATCCTTCATCCATATTTAGTGCTGTTAGATGTTGGCCAAGTTTTAAATTAAGCACAACCCCACGACTTCTTTCAGCCACTTCACACACTTATTTTGGCACAGAAATTTCAAATAACACTTCATGAAACACTTTTATATATTGTTATATAACACTGACAAAATATTTTGATTACAACAGATTCAAGGTAACTGAGGAACATTACAAATAGAAAATATCACTGAACAGGACCACACCTGTAAATATACGTAAAACTAAAATGTACACCTCACCATTTCCTGTCGCCTTTTTGAACCATTTTGAATTTTCAGAAATGGAATCATTGCAAAAACAATAATACTTCATTTAATTCGGTTCTATAAAAAGCTGTTTTCTTATAGTGATCTTTTTTCAAGGACCACGTTTTATATAAATCTGATAAGTAGCTGTTGCACGATGTGACATCACTGCATAAAGTTCGTAGAATCTAAACTCGTGGCCATCAAGTTTTTGAATCTCGGTATTACTCCTTTGCCAGTCGGTCTTTGAGACGCAGATTCTGTTTTCTCTCGACTTGTATTATATTTTCTAATCCATTTGCCATTAAATGACGGTAAGCCTGGATGTAGATACTCAACTGCCATGTTTAATAACATAGAAGAGTACTGTTTAAAGATAAAAATGAAGGTACTTGTGGGTTATCGGGACACATCGCTTTAAAAATAGGTTAGGTTAGGTTAATGTGTGTGGATAAATGACATATACTTGAAAGTTATTATATTTTATTTCAATAAAGGACAACTAACTCAACCTAACCTAACCTAACCTAACCTATTTTTAAAGCGATGTGTCCCGATAACCCACAAGTACCCAAATGAATTTTTAGCATATTACCGTTTTACGACATGCGTCTGAAATTAATGAATTCCCAACATCTGTTGGTAACTTATTACAATAATGACTAGTATACATGAGGATGGAATACTGAATGGAGTATTATGTATCTTACTGGCACATAAAGACAGAGGTCACTACTGTGACTTTACAACTGAAGGTGGTGGGTTCATTCCCATACACCACACGTAGTTATTGCAACTGTTGCACATCAGAACACATGACAAAATGAGCCCTGAATCCATCTTGTGAGAAGTTTTTGGATTTTGTGAAATTTACCCTTTTCTGTTACTCAGAAGAAAAGCTTTGCATTAGGAGTGCCGAAGGATGTTGTAGGGGAAAGATACTGATCTTATCAAAATTTTAGGCTTTTACTTTGCATAAAGTTTTCTCAGGTGTAATACATCGGCCGTAGATTTACTATTGTAAGACTTCAGCGTGGGTCAGCACTGCCAAGAAAGATTTTGTGCTGAGTAACAACCTACACGTGGAATGATGAAGTATGGTCATATTAGGTATAAATTGCATTTTTGTTTTCAGCACTCAGCTGTAACAGTCTTATGAAGTCCCTTAGTGAATTCTGAAGTAATGACTTTACACTGGTCTTATTTAGGAACACACAGATTTAAATTTATAAAAAATACATATTTTATATTGAACTTTAGAAACTTCAACATCAGGTACTGAATTTATGTGTATGTTAGTTATATATTATCTAATTTAAGCACTTACATTCCCATAAATTTTGGCTATCACAACTAAGTTAAACTGCGTGAGGTGTTTTTGATAAAGTAAAGTTGACAGCCTAAATGCACATTTTAGAGGGGCCATTTCTTAAAATGTCAGTATTCTGTCTGTCAACTAATTGTCTGTGACCTAGTATTAGGAGCTATCACTTTAAAGTGAAATAAAATGTTGTTTCTGATAGGTCTACTAGGGTTGCCACTTAACTCTAAAGCCTGAATGGACTTTTTATATTTAGCTTACGAAATATTCAAAAAACAGATAAATATCTATAACAAAATGGCTATATAAATTTTTATACGATCTGTTGCTCCAAAATGTATAAAGTATGTCTTTATACTTATCACATATTTGGAGATTAGGGTGTGCCATGAAAACAAATAGCATCAACAAACAACAGTGATACCTTCAGTGGGAATGTTTATATAATTTTTTATAATGTAACAATCTACTCTCACAGGAGCTTAATTGAGTCTAGGTTATATCAGACAAAAAGTGAACGAAATGTAAATTTTATCTTCAAAGACGGAAACTCAGAAATGCAGTTGTCGGGAAATATTTCTGCTTAAATATTTTTCTAAAAAACATTTGGAACGTAGTAACAAGTAGTTTCATTATGTGTGAATTTTAAGGGATGCGTCCTGTTGTGTGTTGAACGTAGTCCATCTACACAACAATTCATGATCACAGTTTCAATGTTTATTAAGAATCCACCACATGTTTTGACCTTAATTGGTCATAATCAGATGGTTCTCTTTAAGTGTTAAAATCTAAGAGATATGACTGCCAATTTGTGTACACATTTTCCGTTGTTGACTTCACTGTTACTGGTGGAAAGCTGTAATCGAAATCTTCAGCCACGGCTTTCCACTGGTAAGTACACTTACATACACGTACTTCACACCAATTTGACATTTCTTTGCACAAATTAGGAACTAAAAAAATATACCTGTCTGAAACCAGATTCATCACAATACTGCATTCTAGTATAATCTATTTTCTTAGAAAGTTTATAGAATAAAATTACTCCACAAAGTGATTTAACATGGTGTCACATTTAAAAAACAAAAATATGATATAACTACTTGTTATTTCTGTCTTCTCATAAGTGGGATGGTTTGTACCTTTTTATAACATACCACATTTTTTATGATACATGGATCATGGCTGCGTTGTCATTGTTTTTTTTATTCATTCATAAATTTTTTATTTAAGTGAAAAAATCCAAATGAGCTGTTGACTTCACAAATTGTGCAAGTTTCTTTTGAAACTTCAAGAAAAAGAAAGGTTTTTTCTTTATATTTTGGAAGATACACAATTCTGACGAAGGATTTGGTACCTTAAAAAATATGAGATTTTTTAATAGAAGAAAAGTGTAATACTTTTCACATATTCAAAGTTTACATGAGTGTATTGCACACTGACTCAAATATAACTTCAAACAAGTTATTTTTCATGTGAATTGCTACGGAGCGATGACTTGAGCTACTACACCACAGCACTTTGCTGCTACAGTAGCCATTTCCTTCCCTCGCTCCTACACGAGGATTTTGGCAGTTGCTTAGAATCTTGTCCTGTCCCTCGCTCATGTTGTGCTTCACTTTGTGCTCGCTTGTTCAGATATGTCAAATGAGTCCTCTTCCCTGATGGAGCTTGTAGATGACTGGTTGTGTGCTGGGAAGTTCTGCCCCAATGGAGTTGGTGGTTTTCCTCTCCCTGTAACAAGGCCATTTACTTTTGTATTACTTAAATTAAACATTCTGCTTAAGGGATCTCCAAACTTTTAGAACGTGCGCTTATGAAGCATCAGCATATAATGATATCAAGTTATTAGCGAAAACAATCGTAAGAAGATGGCTGACTCTCTTCTGGGTTGTTGCTCCACACAGTTTGGAAGAAGTTTACCAAGTTTTCAGAAGTCCTTGCTATCTGCTGTCTCCATTATCAGTCATTGCCCAAATCTTCATGTCTCTGTTTCTCTGACTGTGAGTATAATTTATTTTTAACCTCCTGTCTATGTGCAGGCCTCCAAATGGTCTGTTAACTTTAGGTTTTCTGACTAAAATTCATGTAAGAATTTTTTATATGTACAATATGCCTGTACTATCTCATCATAAGATGAATTAAGAATTAACTTCTTAATTTAAATATTTGGATTTTAAATTTTCTCTTGCGTGCCTTTCCCCCCCCCCCCCCCCCCCCCCCACTACCACATCACATGAGTACCAACACTTTTATTCCTAGGGAAAAAATTAATACCAATTTTTATGCTGTACAAACAGGAGTTCTGGATAAATAATGATTTCATGTAATTGTCATCCTGTGTCATACTATTATTTTTTTAAATCACTCCAATATTTTGTACTAGCAGATTTGTATATATGGTAAATATTTTCACAAACCCATGTAGGCAAGGGACACATTTGAAGCTTTAATACTCACACATGCGAACCCCTTGTGGACTGTACTGTGGTCTCAGTTTTTGTTGTTGGGCTTTCCAATTGAGTTCTGCCACCACTGAACCTGCACTAATCGTGGCATCTGAATTGAGCTGGTCACTGTTCTGCACATAATGCATGCCCCCTGCTGAAAAATTCATTATAAATTATTAACACTTAAGCATACATCTTTCCACCTTAAGTATTCTATTAAAACGCTTCTAGCTTCATGTGAAAATTCTGGAATTTTAGAAGCCTGGAACACAATTTCTTGCTCAGTTAAGGTCAACAAAAACAAGATTGCATACTCTTTGGAGTATAATAACATTCCAAAGGTGTTCTTCATACCACAACATAGGCAGTGATATGAGCATGTTACTTTGTTATAAATATGGCTCAGAGCAATGGGGCAAAGACCACTCTTACTTGAAAAGAGTGACAAAGGCAACAATGATATTCGGTGTCACTGTTGTGATAATGTGGTCTGAGTTTATTGTTGTGAGCTAACATTGATCTCTGTTTCCATTGTTGTATAACTGCATTCCAACAATATCTTGGTTCCTGTTGTTGAAACTATGTTTCACCAATGCCCCATGTCATGTGGCGTGTCTAGTTCCTAGGTAAATGCAAGAGACATAGTCAGGCCTATAAGGTATTCTTCACTCACACTGGAGTGTGAGGAATGCCTAATAATAGCTTTGGACTTGGAGCTTAGCATAGCGGCAGATGTTGACACTGACAACATACCACTGACAACAACAGCAACAGGTGTGATGTTGGTGGGTGTTGGCGTGGCAAGGTATGATGAACTCCGGTGCTGGGACATGACAACTTCTTTAGTATTCTTTTCTGGCTTGAACAGCACAATATACAGCTTGGGAAAGAACAGGCAGGCCAACTGTACCAGTCCACTGGAAGAAGTGAAAAATATCTGTCTGTCACTTTTGTCTTACAATAGTCTACTTTGAATACGAGACCATTATTACAATTAACTGGTGCCACAGAAATGTTTTCTTTGTGATAATTGCACCTTTCATTATATTTTAAACTAGTTTTCCAAATCGGTATCTCACTTAATCTAAAAATAACATGTTTTGAATCATTTCACTGTGTGCTCAGGGGACCAGACCCTTCCTAATTTTCTAACTCTGCTCGTGCATCTTTGTTTCAAAACTATGGCTCTACTTCTTTCTTAATCCATGCAAAATTGTACTGTTTACTACTTTTGAATCTCTTCTATGTAGTTGACTGGATATGTTTTATGTCTTGTAAGATGATTTTATACCTGAGGGACAGTGATATTGCCAGTGTCACAACCCTTATGGAGTTGCTATTTGAGGCGAGGTAGAGTGGCACAAATGCAAGCCAGATGATGATGGCAGTGTAGTTGGTGAAGGCTATATGCCGTGTTTCATTGAAGCCACCTGGACACTTCCGTGTCTTCACAGCATATGCTGTACATAAACCTTCACAAACAAAAATACATACTCAGACTATTTAAATAAAAATTCCAACACATTATTCCATAGTGAATTTCAAGAAAGATTGCTGAGATTAATTTCGAAGATATACTTTCATTATTGCATTGTCTTGGCATATAATTTCTGATTAGACTATGCCTGATACACCCAACAAGACTGGGTTCAGATATTACCTATGAGCACAAAGGGGTAGAGAAGTCCCACCATGTAGGAGTAGCCATCTAGCCCCTCACAGATGAGCATACGTGATTCCCGAGTTGGAAATGAGTGTGTCACCGAAGGTGGTTCATACATGAGCCATGACACGTTGATCACCACCTCCACAGATGTCAGCAGAGCTGTTATGACCAGCTGAGACTTTGGACTTGTGTACCTGTGCAAATTATAAAGTATTGATACTTAAAATATGTTATAGGGATTTATTAGACTGTATGAACAGTAAACAGAAAAACTGTGTAAAAACAAAAATATTAACACCTTTATGGAATAGAGTCCTTTAAGAAACTGAGTCACCAGTTTTTCAAAAATGTCTTGTCTTTTGTGGAACCAAAGGTTAAAGTGATTCACAAGAATAGTTTTAAGCATCTTAAAACATTTTAAAATTTAGTTATAGCATTTTAATATTTGTGATAATACATTATATCAGTGTCATATTACTAAGTAAATACATTAAATTGAACTTATAACAATTAAAAAATAAAAATAAAAATAGAGTAATGACAGTTCCAGTATGGTAGAGAACCAAATACTTTAGTATTAACTAATTATGACAAAATAACGGTCTTGAAGACAGATATGTGTACATAAAACACTGACTAGAGATAAAGTGATCAAAACAGCCTGCCATCGGACCCTGCCACAAGCCTGATCAATAAAACCTTAACATAAATATAACATTTATGATTATGATGGTGGTGCTGGTGGATGATCAGTGTGTTGGCATTAGACAGAATATTTAGAAAGGGTGGAAGATTCTGAAATTCCAAAACTACTTCATGAATATCAGCCAAAAGGAAGAGAAACTGGACAATCATTAACATCACAAATAGACACATTCTGATATGTTTATACTTGTATTTTACATATCTTAAAATGAGAGAAGTTTTAATGCCTTTCACAATAACATTTGAAAATGAAATCTTAAAGAATTAATTCTAAAGCTACACCAAGCAAAACAACCTAATCTATAGATAATAATTACCAAATCACTAAAACTTGTTTGTGGTATAAAGGTTAAGAAGTACCTTGTCTTATGCGGAGAGATGGGTCGGTTGCTGAAGATGCGTGCTATGCGGTTGGTCTTGGTGACGATGGCTGCATAGCATAGTGTATAGCAGAACCCCAGGAAGAACCGTGTTAAACCACAAGTGAAGGATGTAGGATGTGCAACAATCACGAATGTGACACAAAATGATGCCAATATCCCTACCAGCAGCAGATAGCTCAGTTCACGTCCTGAAGCTTTAACTACTGGTGTGTCACTGTATGTCCAGAAGATAATAAACACAAACACCGTCACCAGTATTCCTACACAGAGAAGTAAAACATACATAGCACAATCATATAGACTGAGTATAGCTACTTGTAGTGCAACAGATACCCAGCCATGTTAACTTTTAATGAAAAAAGTATGAGAAGAAATGTTTTACAGTGCAAGAGATACCTTTAGAAATCACTGAAAAATCATGTGTTTCCCCTTTGAGACTAGCCAGACCAAGTGGCAGCAGTAGTTTTTATCTATCGTCACTGAGTGAAAATTAACACATTCACTGCCATGCTACCCAGTGGGGATTTAACTGCCCTGTGCCAGCCACTTTTCAGTGTGGGAATTGGGGATATGTTTAACATGAATGGAAAAAATCTAAATATCTTAGAAAATATTTTAAGTAATTGCATGACATTATCAGGTTTCTTTTAATACTGATTTAGGGTGTGGTATCTTATATAGCTATTTACTTGCACTTACATTTTTCATTTTTCCACACTTTGTATCAGTCATCTTTATACACATGAGGCAAGCATATATTTCCAGAGGAACAGGAAATACAAAGTAATGATGAAGTTATCTCTGCTTTTTGTGGAACTCAAAGGTTCATTAGCATGTTTCAAAAGATCTTAACTCCAGTCCCTATACTGAATCCAGTCTTCAACCTCCTTCCCTGTTTTCCTAACATGAATTTTCATATCCTCCCTTCTGTGTTTAGATCTTCCAAGTTCCTCTTATATTCAGGTTATCCAGTAAAATTTTTTAACACATTTATCATCAATCAGTGCATATTTAATTATTACGAACTTAAAGTATCATTATTAGTTATTGCTAACTCAGTAACTAGATTTTATTCCATCTTTATCCATGATCAAAGCATATTTATACAACATATTTCTTTTTATACAGCCCTTCCTATTAAAATGCTGTTTTTCAGTTGTTTATGGGCCTCTGAAGCATAACATAACATAGGGCCTCAACACATTTCAATTTGACCATGGATCCAATCTCCTATGTATACCAACTCTATCAATAAATGACAGATTCTGAAGATGATGAATATATAACATAAAACTGACCGAGGCTTGCAACTGCCATGGCTGCAATGGCCCATGGGTTCTGGTAGTCAATAAACTCTTCAGGAATGGGCACACAGTGAGAGTGGTCATGTGAGGGTAGTGACCCCAATGCACAGTCCTCACAATGGTATTCATCCACCTTAACCTGGTACTTGCCACAGCTCCGACAGTGCCAGCAACATATATCTTCTCGCTGCTGTTGGAACAAGTAGTGTGTGATATTAGCATGTCCCTAGCAGTAGACTGAAAGCAAAATGTTAGTTCCCCTAGATGCTCATTTTTATAGCATTTAATTTTGCTTCCTTGTTGTTGGATTGTGTTTGTGTGTGCGCGTGCCTAGAACATGAGCATTAATCTACTAGCATACCTTAATGGCTGCAAGACAACTGCCTATTCAAGAGACTTCAGCTATTTTTATGACTGTAAAATATGACTAGTGAAGATGAAAAGAAACTGTGTTGAACACAGACAATGATAATAAATAGAAAAGAATAATTTTCTTTAATTAATAAATAAAACTTGGAAACATGGTGGCATTTGGAGAAAATATTGTCACAAGTGATAGCAATAAGTACAAACCACTTTTAATGAAGTCCTGTTTGGTAATTAAAATCTCTCATGATCATAATTTTCTTCATTTTCAGAGCAAATTATATATTTACAGAGGCATACATATATATTAATTTAAAAGCAGATTATGTTAAAATATATTTGTATGAGAGTAACAGCTGAAGGCTGGTGACCCTACCTGTATTTTGATCTGGTGCACAGCACATGGTGTGGCACAGGTGGACGCTGGGAAAGCCTCTCCTTTACGGTAACTAATAATGTCATGGTCAATGTTGAGTACTGGCAACCCTTTGTCATCCACTGTGAACACATAGGGTATCAGTTTCACATTGATAGAATCATAGGAAGAAAGATAATATCAACTTATTTTTAACAAAAACATTCACCTGGAAAATATAAATTTCTGAATATAAGGGCAATAAGCATCCTGCAGATTTAGTCTACTCTTATATTTGTCATGAACATATTCTCATCCATTATGTAGCACAAATGGGGGAGATGAAAAATGCACACAACCTTTTGGATGGAAAGCCTGAAGGGAAGAGACTGTTCAAAAGACCTAGCATAGATCTACACTACTACTGTATTAAACTGGATATATGGGAAATGGGGTGGGAAAGCACAGACTGGATTCATTTGGTTCAGAATAAGGACCAGCGACAGGCTGTTGTGAACAAGGCAATGAACCTTTATTTTGCAAAAATGATGGTGAATTTCTTGACTAGCGTAGCTTTTAAGAAGGAATCTGCTTCACAGAGCAGTTAGTTACTGTCATCCAACAATATGTCTGACCTTTGCCACATTTTTGAAGAATTAACCCTTTAAAGCTCAGAGGTAAATACATGTACCGTGTGCTTTAACATTCAGTAAATGTGCGTTTTGTATTTATGGGTCCTGTATGATTCTCACTGTAAAGAGGGATTAAAACACGTTTAAACCAACTGTTCTTTACAATGGTGAAGTGTTTGTTTTCTTTGAGGTGTGCATTAAATTCTTGAATATTATTTAGATGAGCTAAGGTTTCAAATGTTTTATTAGCTACCTTCATATTATGATTTTGTCCTGCATTCTCGTCACTGTAGACGAACTTGTACCACTTTTCTCTGTGTTAATTTCTACATCACTCTCCTTACTAATATCTTAGAGTTTCTCTTGTTTCATTATCGTGTTTTATGAATTTGCCTAATAAATTAATCTGAACATGAAATTGATTAATTCCTTTTGATTTCAGTGCCTCCCTGTTGTCTTTGATCTTTCTAATGATTTAAAAATGATACAATGACATATCCTTTTAACAAATTATTATGAACAGGAAGTACATTACACAAATATTTGAGATACATTCATTTTACTATGTGTACACATTTTAGTTAACCTAACTAGTTTGATTGGTATATCAAATTCAGTGAGAACATTGTACAGTATTTCTCTCTTAATTGAGTCACCAGGATTTTTTGAGGTCTTTAAATGGCTAATATGCTTCCTCTCCAGACTTAGATGAATCCAGAATATCTGATCATTAACTTATATGTTACATCAAGATATACACTGATAGATCAGTATCCTTAATTTAGGCATATTAAATCAACTTTATTACTGTATAATATATAGTTCTTGATTGTCAGTAATGACATAAAATTCTCTTTCTCTGACAACTCACATGCATCCAGTGTGCTAAAGTTTAGAATGTTTAAAGCTTTATTTGTACATACCTTATACAGCTTCATAGAATGGTGTTTAATCATGGATGCAACCTTACTTAATACTTTAATAATACATAACTTTGGGCATTCACCATTGAGTTGAATGAGATAGAGTGAATCTGGTATGAATGTTGTGCAATAGTGACAGCTGAACAGTTAATTGTACTTACATGTGTAGTTACCAACAATCTTCCAATGATAACGGTGTCCACTGGTGTCTTTCTGGAAGTTCAGTATGGAATATCGTGGTGGTCCATCTCGGCCATTAAGGAACACAAATGGCTTCCCTCCCTCATCTGGAACAAGAGAATCTTATAGACTTGTGTTGCTTGTACAGTTGTGTGTATCACTGTTATGCTGTCAGGCTTACAGAGCAACTAGGTTGATTATTAAAACTAGGAATAAAAGAAACTTGAATGTATCTGAGATATGAGGTTCTCATGGTAGTGAATTTATTGATTATTATCTTCTGGGTTGTGTCACCATATGGTCTTGTGGGTGGTTACGAACGTTTCTGAAGGACACGTCTCTTCCATTGTCACTCTGAACATGAAGAGGATATGATCATTCAAAATGCTGATAACCACTTACAGGGCCAGACTGCATTATGACCCAGAAAACCATAATCAACAACATAAATTCTATTCTAAGAATGGAACTGATGTGATGTGTAGATAATTCCAGTTTATCTGTCAGAACTTAATTCTGAGGAAAGTGTTTTTGGTTCTTTTTCAACATAGACACAGGCGAACATTTCAGTTTTTGCTCCAGCAGATAATTATCTGCTGACTGCTTAGGGGCGATGCAAACCTAGGGAGTTTTTGACCCAGTCAGTCAGGAATAAGTCAAGTCAGGCAGTGAAGTCAGTCAGTCAAACAAGCAGTCAGGCCATTCAGTCATGATTTTTTTAGGTCTGTCATTTATCTCTGTCATTTATCTCTGTGTTTTCTTTTTCAATCAATCAACTGATCAGTCAGGCCATCACTCAAGTCACTGGAGACAATCAAATCAGTGGAGTCAAAACATCAAGGCCTGTCAGTAATCAGTCACACAGTCTGTCTCAGTTAAGCAGTCAATCAATTGATCAGGCCATCAGTCAGGCTGCTGCAGTCAGCAGAGTCAAAGCAGTAGTCAGGCAAGCAGTTATAAATCTGGCAGGTCTGTCAGTCATCAGTTAGTCTGTGTCTATCAATCAATAAACTAGGCCATCAGTCAAGTCACTGTAGGCAGTCAAATTAGTGCAATCAGTCAGTCAGTCACATCATTGCAGTCTGTCTGTGTTGTCAGACAGTGAGATTAACCTGACACCAAAGCCAGTCTGTGGACTTACCATTGAAGGTGACATTGGCGAGATAGGTTCTCAGAAGATCCCCGTCAATGTGCCGCATTTTCTCACAGACTCCTGTAGCACCAGGCCCACATTCTTTTACCTGCAGGTTATGAAGGGCCTGTGCCACAGCATACACAGCATCTCGTACAAAGTGCAGGTATCTTTGCTGCCGGTATCCTCGCCCCCTGCCCCACTCACACATTTCAAATGTCCCAGGTGTGGCAGTCCCAGGAGTGATATCTAACGTTGTGTCTGTCCATGTGGTAGATTCATCTTCTGGCAGTTCAGTAGGCATACTATCCTGTAACTGTAGGAAATGGTGCACTATCAGAAAGCATGGGTCTTTGTCATTTGACATTTCTGGCAGAAATGAGTTTGACAAGTTACATTACTTTATATATTAAAATACATTTGACGCTGGCCTGTCTCACTTTGAAGATTTTCATGGAATTTGTATAAGATTTGTGCTTGATCACAAACATCAGTAAGTTACCATAACATCAAAAGAATTTTGTTATTATTGTGCTTCTACCTATTGACAGACTTCTTTTTCATACTACAAAGATGTGTTTATAACTGATCATGACAAGCTACATTTATTCATCAGTTTATTAGTTCATATATTGGGGAGCCGGGGGCAGGACGTGATCACGGGGCAGAACGGGGTATGGGCTTTATTTCGTCTTCAATGCGTCGTGATCTACCGGGACCGGGTGAAATACCATTAGCATGCAGCACAGGGTCATGTCATGTCAGTCAGCGCCATCTGTGTTTACAGTTCCTGAAATAATCATCTGGTATGCTGGATTTTGCTCCTACATTTTAGAAATTTTTCTCAACTTCCAGTGAAGGTAAGACCTATTCATTATTCATATCCACATTTTTATATGATGCTTGTTACGAGGTGTTTTCTGAAAGTCTTAAACACAATATATTTATTTATTTTCATGATGTAATTTTTGGTGGACAAACCTAACCTGAAAGAGTATACTCGGGGCAGGATGGGGTAGGGTAGAATGGGGTACTCCGTTTTGCCCCGAGTGAAAGTAGAGAAGATGTCTATTCTCAGTCTATTGAAGGGTAGACCCGGTGTTCTTTTTGTTTGAAATGGGCCCATAACTCATGTGCAGGTGTTGATAGTGACAATGATGATGAAGAGGTGCACATGTGTGCTGTCTGTGTCAGGCCTAAGTAGATTTAAAAAGTGTAAAGTTTGGACATTTTTGGAGCCTATTTTTAGAACTTACATTGTATACTTTATCATTTTTGTATCCTACGTCATAATTATTACATAATATGTGTCTTATTACAACTTTTTCAAACATATATCAATCATACCCCATCTTGCCCCGGGCACGGGGCAAAATGGGGCAAGTTACATTTTTGTAAAGAAATTAATATTTAAAAAACTGTAACTCTTAGAACTAAACTATTCAAATAGACAATAAATCCACACAAGGTTTCTCCATGTGTTTGCCTTTATTGTCCCTTTCACATGCCTCCAAAGATTATGTTGGTTTCCCTGATGGTAAGGAAAAGTAAACATATTTTCCATGCATTCAATATTTTCTTCCAATTATTAATAAACACTTTGGCCATAACCTTTCCATATTTCATAGAAAATGTAGTCTAAAATGTAGAAATATTTATTTAGTAAATTCTGTTTTGTAATGCATTTGATTATATTTAAGTATGGTCATTTGTAGAGGCTAAAGATAGAGACACATTTAAAAAAAGTAAAGATGGAATAACAGTGCCTGAAGAAGCTTTTCTTTATTGCTTGAATGGAAAAAGGCTGCAAGAAGTTTCATAAAAAATAGAAATGTTGGAATGGACTGTACCCTAGTGGTCTACTGAAGCAGTAAACAGAGAAAGATAAGAAAAGAGAAAAGAAGAGGAAGGTAAATGTTCAAAAAACCTTACCCAAGATGCAGCAGATCTGTAGTGAGCTGCACTGAGTTGCTTCTTGCAATATTCTTTGAGGGACTCTTCAAACCAGGGATTGATTGTGCCATGGCTGGGACCAAGGGACTTGAAGTAACTGTCAAAGCCTGCCAGGTTGCGGGACATAGGCTGCACGGCCAGGGCCCCTTCCATTACGCTTTCATCACGCCATGCGTCCGACAGACCTACAGAAATGTTTGCTATATTTTAGCTCCCCACTTAACCACCAAGCTGGAAGCTTACCCCCTTGTCAGATTTTATGAGTGGTGAGCAACTAACATGGGTGTGTGAATGATTAATTCATTTACAGTTACCCTTTATCTAGAGACCATCACATCCACCTGCAACCTTATCTTAACTCTACCACCCTCCTCCCCCAAATACAGTGGGAAATGGATTCATCTGGCTCAGGAATGAGACCAATGCCAGGTTCTCATGTATGTGGTAATGAACCTTTCGATTTCATGAGAGGTGGAGCATTTCTTTACCAAATGAGTGATTATGTTCCCATTAAGGACTTTCTTGCATGAATTTAATAAAGCTGGATAGTGAAAGCTCTGAAACATTAGAAATAATTTCCATACTAAGATGGCTGATCATTCAAGAAGACTTCACTGCATTTAATTTCCGTGAAAGCTTAAAATGTTTATACAGTCTTACCATTGCCGACCATCCGGTAGTTAAAGGCGGTGTCAGGGCTGCGATGACTGGAAGCGGCACTCCACGCGTCACACAAGATCCACACAAACTGACCTATGATGCCATGGCGTGCAGCAGCATCCATCAGTTTCTGTGTCATGGATTTGTCAGCGAAAATCACCACCACTGTGCAGACATGCATAATTTTCTTTTTTGAAATTGTATTGATCAATGACAGTATTAAAATTTTCAAGTAGCTTAATTATATTATCTGTTTTATGGAGAAGCTGGAGAAAATTGCATAATGAGCAGCTCCTTAGAGGGAAGAAATGTGAGGATAACATTGAAATGGGATTTGTTTCATCTGGCTGGTGGTGGGCTCTTGTGAATGCAATAATGATCTTCTGGGTTCCATAAAATATGGGTTATTTCTTAACTAGCTGAACGTACTATTAGCTTCTCGTGAAGGACTGTATTCTATGGAGTTAGTTATTTTTAGTCCACTTTATTAATCAGACATGCAATAAAAAGCCACAAACTTTATTTCTGACAAACAGGAAAAGCAGATGTTCTAAATTACTGACCAAGTCTGGCCTTATACAGTGCTACAGCAATTTAAAAACCTATAAACGTTTTGGGCAAAGATAAATTATCTTTTTTCTAAACATAAATGAGCAGAAATTTCAAAGTAGCTAGATAAAAAAACAAATAATTTATGTATGGCAAAAAGTGCTTCTGCTATTTTTTGTAAATCCTCACTCTACAAACTGATCATTCATAAGCAGTATATGCCAGAGGTGATTCAACTTTAGCTTAAGGCCCCATTTTCAGTTTATCTTCCATTATTCTTGTTTTGAGTAGGGTTTGAACTCTTGAGGCACTTGACTCACCTCGAACATCTGTCTTGTTAACAATGTTATACAGCACATTATCGTAGTCTGAGTCCCTAAAATTTTCTTTGTTAACACGCTGTGGTGCTGAAAAGCACACATTGTATTTTCCAGCCAATGAGCTCAGTGTCTCAAATCCGTGGTTCCCATACTCGTTGTCAGAGTACACCACAGACACGTATGTCCAGTTGAATTTCCTGAAAACAAAATAAAATTATTGCATCATATAGGCCTGCTGGGAAATATGCTAGTTGCCTTTAGACTTACTGATGTAATGTGAAAAGACTACTAACTAAGCAACTACATGGAGCAGAAACTTCTTGAGAATAGAACAGTCATTCAACTAGCAAAGAAATTACCTACCTCCTATGGAAACCTAAGGTTCATTACTGTGTTAAGAAAAACCTGTCAGCGTTCCCTATTTCCTCAAGATCCATTTCAATTATATGCACCTATGTCTTCCAAATCGATACTTTTCTTCAGGTTTCCTTACTAGAATTTTGGATCTCGTTATAACCGAGTTTGACTGTATATATAAACTTTGCCACTTTTTGAAGTATTTATAGGAAATGCATCAGAAAAGTATTCACATGGTACATGCTTTGGGTAATACATCTTAATTAGCCTGCCTGTGGCTACTACATTATTGCATTTGGACGAAAACAATTTTGTCTTGTATTTTATTTGTGTGATCCAATACGAACTAATGTTTTTATTGTTCGATAATATCGCCACTCAGTTCAAAACTCACCGAAACAGCAAACACACATACGTATCTAATGATCGTAGCCGGACCCCACGACCTTTTCGAATAAGTCGGTTGTAGCATAAGAAACCATAGTGACCAATGGGATTAGCAAGAAGAAGAAATTATAGCTTTCGAGGAAAGAATCAAATTAACGAGCTCCGGGATTGCATGTAACTACAGATCTGCTGGAGGCGTAACTGTGACGTGTCTTCGATTTCAATGTCACATAAAGACATTATTTCGTAATACAGAATGTTCCAAAAACACATATAGCATTGTAATACTAAATGTTAACCTTGTTATGGATCTCCGTGTGTTGTGTTTACGAGAGGACAGATGGCATCGCAATATCTTTTTCCATGATTTAGATACATACTGGTTCAATTTTTAAAATGTATTTATTTCATTCATTGAATGTGTGTATACATATTTTTGGGACACTAAAACATATAAAATGGGGTCATTTAACATTATAGTGTAACATGTCTGAAGAACTGGGTTGGTTTGACTGAATAATTACCTGAGTATCTCGAGCATAGCGTGTGCCTGATTGACATCACTAGGTACGGTGCGAAAGAAATACGGGAAACGATCCCGGTCACTTAGCGATGGAGATGTGGCCATGTAGCTAATCTGCGGAATCCGGAACAGTCGCAGCATAGTCGCCACCTGCCGAAATTATTCACAAACATGCATGACATTTAAATTACCTTGAAAATATAAAGGCTTCTATTCGGCAAACCCTTCGGCTGATACCATCGTGAACTTAACATGGCCATGACCTATCCGTTATCTCTGCCATTCATGATTGTGGTCATTTAGAGAACTATAGTTATTCAGAAATTAGCGTGAGAAAAAATGATCTTGCAATGACCTTGACAATTTTAAAGGCTTTCTTTAGGTAAACCGTTCGGCTGAGAAAGTATGACCTTAAGAATTCGGAAAAAACCTTGGGCTGATATTGTTGTGACCTTGATATTACCTCGACATATCCGTGAACTCAAATTTACATGAGTGTGGTCATTCGGAAGCCTACAGTTCAGTTGAAATAAGCATGAGAAAAAATGACCTTGAAAATTTGAAAGACCTCTAATCGGCAAACCTTTGGGCTGATATTGTCGTGAACCTTGGCATGACCTTGATATAACCGTGACCTCAACTTGACATGAGTATGGCCGTTCAGAGAAAACCACTTCGGCAGATATATAAGCATAAGAAAAAATACCTTGAACATTTTAAGGGCTGGCGTGGCGGTGCACGTGACTGTTCGGTTTAAGAATCTTAAAATAGTTTTTAGATGTATAGTATGTTTTGGTTATTTATTAAGGAAACATACGTTAACCGTTCAAAGCCCACTGGTAACTATGTGCACCAAATGCTTTAAGAATTTATTACTCTGTATGTTGTATGATTTCGTATGATTATCAGGATACACAATGATTTACTTTAGTATTAATTAATTGATCCTTGCAATGGTGATGAGTTTTATTTGCGGTAAAAACTCATCTTTAAATATCACATTTATGAGCTCATTCTTCATGGGGTTAACACAGTGACTTTAAATTTGTGTCTGTATTACCAAGACAACTCACCTGTATAGTGACTGAACTGGACTGTGCCCCAATCACAGCTACAACCTGATCAAAACCGCCTCCTCGAAATTTCGGAGTGCTGCCATCTTTACACTGAAACTCGTGTTCGTGGTACTCATTGAAGTGCGCAATGAAACCTGGGACAAACACGTAGAAATAATTTCTCTCATCGCCCTTTTTATACCATAACATACGAAGAAATGGAAATAAGTTGTCCCTGGTGCTTAATTAAGTACCGCGTTTTGAAGGAGAATTGCAGGTTTAGCTCCAAGCCCCAGTCACATTACCCCCGAGGAAATAATACCTGTACTCTTTGGATAAGGAGGCTGAGTTGGCCCCACAGTTACGAGAGAATACAAAATAGAATACGACAAACTTACTTCTTCATGTACGTATCCTGCATTAAAGTTCCCATGAATTTAAGTAACTAGATTAAGATGGCTGAATACTCATCGCCCTGATATTGGAGGCGGGAAGCGCCTCTGAAACGTCTGTAATGTTGTAGACAAGTTTACAGCATATAATACGGCCATCTTCATGCTCGCCGCCGTGAAAACGTGAAATCTCGTTTAAGTAACTAGTGTATGCGACCGCGTCTTAATTTGTGCCGTCGGCCTTCACACAGCGACGTGTTTACATGCCATTCATTCGTCTACATTCTTTTACATCTTTAGTACGAACTTTAATAATAGTATTTTTCGCCAGAAATTATTACGGTGATGTTAGTTAGGTGGGATAATATGGCCGGGATATGCAACATATAAGGGAGCCCCGGTAAGGGGCGAATTACAGGTGTATATATTTTCATCTCTTGCGATGAACAGTTCAAGATTTACGATAATTTCTCGTACCTTTAACAAAGTCAAGGGCCTGTTCGAGGCCATACGTTGGGCTGTCACAAGAGTCGAACGCAATCATTCCGAGTTTTATACCCGGCAGTAGATTCGTGTCCTTGTTTATTTGCTCCAGGGTGTACAGCATTGCTTCCAGCGGCTGCACTCCATCTTCCAGCTGCAACAAATAAGTTCCGCGCTAATGTTGTGTTACCATTACCATATCTATTACGAGTTATTATTACTCGGTGTTGTCATCTTATATCTTTCCTCAGAAGTTCATACATCATTTCTAAACAAATATAGTACATGACTTTTTCTCCCAAATTGTTTACTTAACTTTTATTTCACTTCCCTTTCGTTTCTAATTTTACTCTGTGCGAGAAAGAAAACGCCTGCAGGGTTCGCGAATACTGATGCGCAGAACAGTCATGACGGAGAAGTTGCCGCATGAGCACGGGGTTGTCATTTAATTCATTGCTCTTTCCGCAAACGCTGATGGGGTTCTCTGTACCTGATATGGATATAATATTCCGTCTCACCGAGATTATTTTCAGTATTACCGATTACTTCAGGTATTTACTTCAGACCACATTTAGTCAACAGGCGTGTAAAGGCGTTTATGAACTATGAGACGTTTGGAAAATGCGTATATGTACATGGAAGATTTATAGAAATATGGTTTAGCATGTGTTTTATTAAGTGACTGCCTTGATCACAATATGCCATTATTTTAAGCATTTAAAAGGACAGTAATACATCTGTGCACTAAATTTTCCAATCTAAAGAACATTACGTTGTATAGTGGGCATCGAACCCGCAATACCTGCTGACAAAACCGACATTTTTACTACACATGAGGCCTCCCACACTGTCTGTCATTTGTTCATATACTGCCAATGTGGGAAATATGAGCCCCTTTGAATTCGCTGAACACACCTGTATAGACCCATCAAAATTATCGTTTGTTCTACAAATAAGGGCTAGTAATTAATTCTTTATTAGCCACTATACGGTCTATAATCTTCCTTTGAACAGTCACTTGTTATTCAGTTGTGATCCCATCATCACTTTCTTTCATCTAGGACAATCTGATGAACCAATTCAACTCAGTTCACATACTACCTATTGTAGAGTTTTAAGAAAGTTTAAATTTATTGGATTGCGAACAAATGTCGATATATGTAAATCTGAAATTGAGACATACTTTGTGCTTTTAGGCTTACTCGTAAGTGCTCGAAATGGAATTGTTCGTTGGTTTATGTGATCACGCTGTGCCAACTACTTCGTTTATTTTGCAGTAAATGAGAGAGATATTTCCAAACAAGTATGGCCGGTACTTTAGAAATGATGCGGAGAAAACCGGATGTGATCTAGTTTGATTTACTTACTAGAGTTTCTGAGTAAAAGCGGGATGAATTTGTCACAGATTCGGACTGGTGACCCCCCTGAAGCAGGCATACTGTAGACTACACAACGGCTTGGAAAGGGTACTTTTAATTTTTAAAACGGGCATTGTCGCAGACTAATACTATGAAACCGATCCCAAGAATAAGTTTTGGGAAGAACATGTGACTCCTTGGTGACAGGGACAACATAAACAACAACAACAACAATAGATTACGTGATACATTTAAGTCCATAATTTCTATAATTCCATCTATGGGTCTGTTAAACTTGTCAGATATAACCTAGAAGTATCTCGTCACTGACCTTGTTTGTTACTGTTGACATGTTCCATACTTGACTGAGAATTGTAAATGTGTTTATGATCTGTCTTCATGCCCGCATAAATAGTTCCATTCGTTTATTAGTTATCACCGTCAAACAGAAAGCTGAATGTGTATTTCGCCCAGCCGCCATGTTCTGGTGCTAGTCTAGTTCCCATCTCAAGTTAACAGACCTGTGTTGGTGTGATTAATGGCAGAGACTGAGGGAGTAAAAATCTGGGGCTTGTAATATTCATCCGAAGTTTCAGCACAATCCGTCAATTGGCTCGAAAGTTGCCTTTCCATACAAAATAAATGAAATAGATAAAAAGTACAATTATAGTATTCTCAGTGCAGAGAACTAGTTGTAAAAAACCATGCTTTACACGGTTGGGATTCATCGGAAGTATACGTAAGTAAACTTCAGCTCGGCTTCTTCTGACGAATACTGTAAGCCAAGGTAGTGACGTCAGACAACACTTGATTACTTTGTACCCCGTTGCTTCATAGCACACCAGTCTTTTATGCCATATAATTGACTCTTCCATTTGCAGTTTATCCTCCTCGAAAATTTTTGAAGTACCTTAAAGCGATGTATCCCTAGTGTTAATGTCGTTGGCCACTAGGCTTACTGATTGTCGAGAGGTGTTTCTAAAACCCACTAAAATTAACTAACAGTCATTACGCTTGAGGCATCGTTAGATTTGTGATGCACATACGCTGAAGATTCTGGCCAATGGCGTCATCATGCTCCCGCCTCGCTGTTTTCAGCATCCGTCGCGATGGTATTACCCAGTGTAAATAAATTAGAAAGTATGAATTTCAAATGTGACCTGTGGCATAACATCCACACCGTTTTCCATCCAGCCATTCTGTAGCTGTTAAATACGTTCGGATGAATATCAGATGTGAAGACGCTTGATTAGGTTAGCGCTTCCCTGAGAAAATTCAATACGGAAAGTGGCCAAGAGAAATCAAGACAAAGCTCACCTGTATTTTGCCGCACTCGGCCCCTCCTGACCCCTTGTGGTGAATGGGGAACAGGGCTCCTAACATGATGTCACCCGTGTAGTTCAGGTACTTGGGAGAAGCGTTTGAGGGGGCAGCCAGGAGCCCAAGCCACACCGCTGACCATACCAGGAGCATCCTGTACATGCAATTTAGTTAGCCTTACAAGACCTAGCGGTAACTATTATGTGTCACCTAATTTAACAGTGAGTAATTCTGTACTCTGTATGTATGGGTTTATTATGATTCTTAGTGTAATCAGGGGTTATTTCCTTTACGAGCATTGACAAGTTAATCTTTGTAATGATGAAGTATTGTGTTCTCTGTGCGGTATGGACTGAATTCTTAAATGTTAGTGACAAGCTTCAGGTTCAAAGGGTTAAATTATCCTAACAGGTCATCGTTAGTTTACAAGATTGTCGTGGTAATACCTTCAGAAAGCCAAGACCGCTTTTCAAGTAACCTTACAATAAACAGCGTACTTAGGAGGTCACGGCCCGCAGATCGGCTGTCTTGACTGAGTGATAACTTTCGTGGTTTTTCTCAGTCCCTCCAGGAAAATGCCGGGCATAGTGCCTTAAATTAAACCACAACCGCTTTCTTCCACATCCTTTCCAATTTACTGATTAATCATCCTACCATTTGGCGCGATAAAATGCCAGCTATCCGCAGCGTCGTTAATTAGACTAAACAAGAAACAAATAAATACGCAAATAAAATCGAGATAAAATTACAGAGAAACAGGGAGCAAATGTGCAAAATGAAATCTAAAAACTCTGACCAAAATAAAGGTTAGCCTATATACACTAATGAATGAGTCACTGAAAGAGCAGAAAAAGTCAGCAAGCCAGATGGCTTTCTTCTTGAAGCTGTCAGTGTTCCCGCAGATTATATTAGAAGCAGAAACACATCCAGCTAAGGGACTGACTTTGATGTGGTGGTATACAGAGTAGTCTGTAATTATCCTTGTAGGTATCCTTACACTTATGTAATTCAGACTGAAAGAGCAACTATTTTTTTAGCATGAATGAAAAATAGGGCATCGAGACGACTCGTTCTGGAATGAAGTGTCTATCAGCCAACAGAAGCCTGGAAATTGTATTTAGACTCTTCGATGCAATGGAGTTCCAGGTGACAACTGTATTCAAGCTTCAGATGCACGAGGGTACTCGGTGTGTGCATATTAAACTTTAAGACGCCAAGATAAATCACGCGAACAGAACGCATCTTTACTCTGTATACTAAGCCTGTTCACGGGGTTGAACCATTCTGCGCATATATAGACGTTCTTATTGGATAACCATGAATCCTTATTTCTTAAATTAAAGGTACCATTTGAAACTAGGCATATCATTTATTTGTTGTCTCTGTGACAAACGGAAATGTGGAGGTCAGTCGGTATCTTTTCAGCCGGATCTGAAGTCACCAGTTTTGTGATAATTATCCAGACGTCGAGCGGTTGTGTTTCCGTCATACTTAGAGGCGATTATTTCAGAAAGCAAGGCTCTTGTTTCCTGTGACAGTTTCTCGTCTGACCCGCACGTGAAAATGGAAAAGCTAAGTGGAGGTTTGCGCCTTTGGGGCCCATGGGCGCAGAGGTAACCTACGTCTTGTGCTAAGTTACCTCCGCGACGCCTGTACGCCTTCATGGTATTATAATAAGGCACACTCGTGTATGATTATATGGCTGCCTTTCTTTTATCATAATTACCGCAATTACTTCAGTTACTTTGATCACGGTTGTTGAATGATACTCGTGATAACGGCAGAATTCACCTTAATGGAATATAAAATAAATGAAGACGTTAAAGGGACTGAAGATAAAACCTACATTGAACAATTTCTATTAAAATAAAAGCAGTTGGATTCAAGATGTTGATATAATGCAAGGACACAACCTTCCCGAAGTATTAAAATGTTACAAAGTACGTAATTAAGGACTGAGGATGAACTTTAAAGAGACTTTTCTACGACTGAGACGAGCCAGAAAGTAGCCTAACTCCATGACTGCTGGATGATGATGACTAATTTTGTCCTCACCCGTGTCTTGGGAACCCGAAGCCCGACTGGAGCCCTTCTTATCCCCCACTGATCCGGAGACATTTTGATATTACGAATTCGCTTTAAATATCACGTTTCTAAGGAAACAAATCACAGGGGATACCGGTTGTGGTTTTTTTTTATTTTCATTCTAACATGAGAGGAAATGATGTTTTGTTTCGCAAAGATGTCACGTTTCCGATCCCTGCCCCTTTAACATGCTCTTGCGTCATGTTTCTACCGGGTTACGCCCTCATCCATCAATTCTTATTGACTGCAATCACTCAGCTGAAGAGCGACTCAATGAACATTAATATTGTTTTGGGAAATAATTCTTGTTTATTTTTAGAATCATGCGAAACCCTTAAATAAACTCAATGGGGAAAATAAAAAGTTGCTAAATGTTAAAGAAGGTGGTGCATATAGGTACCACTGGTTGCTAAAATCTTTGAATGCAGAAAAAGAAAGTTTCAATGTGTAGATGATAAACCAAACTAAACTAAACTAAACATTGTTTGGTGATGATGATCCCGATACTCCTGTGCCTAACTGACACCCGAGAAAGCGTGTAGGGGACGTTGAGGTAAAGCGTTTTCCCTAGGATCGATTATTTTATCCCCAGGAACAGAAAGCAAAATGATGGGCCAACGTGGCGGCGAAGGGAAATACTTGGCTTGCATCTTTCGTTTGTTACCCATTCCGCAATCCTGGCGTGATAAAGCTTAACCCATTTACACAGAATTCTTGTCATGAATAGTATCGCATTTCCTCCATTTTAAGACGCCATCAAATGTAGGACGCACGCCGATTTCAGAGATTTTAGACAAAAAAAAGAGTGCGTCCTAAAATCGAGGAAATAAGGTGTTTAATGTTTTAAAACATTCCAAGTTGCTCATTTGTACAAAGTTTCCTAAGAAAAATTTCGCATGTGTAATGCTTTACGTGCTCCGTGTTCAGTGCATCGTATGATTGCAATAGACATACTAAGAGAGCGTTATAAATCGTTAAATAATTGAAAATCTAATTTTCTTTCTTAATTTCCCTTTATATTTCTTTTTCGTTCATATGTATTATTTCCCTTGTTCAAAGATAGAAATCACATTTTTTATTGGTCAAAGTTAGGATAAAAGCACATTTTATAAGTTTTATTTCTGTGGCAATATTTCAAGGAACTGACGAGCTACCAAAGTGGATGACGTTGTTTTGCGTTGTTTACTCTCCTTTTTCCAGATCTCTAAGAGCAGTATCAGTTGTTGTGTCAACAGTGTTTCTGGTGTTCTAGAGATAACTACGTGTAAATAGATAGCGTAGGTATGTGTGTATGTGTCTGCCATTTTTCCTTTTTTTATGTTTGTTTTTTAATTCTCACTGTTTCAATTGCTCCGTACAGGATAGCCTGCAAAGAAGGTAACCATGTTCATAGTCTTTTATTAAAACATACACCAACTAGCCAAGGTCATGGAATAAAATCTTTGCTCAGAAGCCGATAATCGCTCAACCAGTCAACAAAATCCTCCCCGTTTAAATCGCCACCGGTGTCTGACTTGAGCCACATGAATCCAATCCACATTCTTACACCCGTAAAATATCAATTATGCGTATATTAAATTATTGGAGAAAACATGTCAGTCGAACGAAATTTGTCCTGTTTTGTCAAATCATCAGCTATTAGCACTTCCTTTTTGTATCAGTTCCAGTTACTACTAGTTCTGTGCTAATACCTGACTGCTATTTTAGCGCTGACAGAAATCAGACATCAAGGAAGTCTATACACATGTAGTTGGAATATTAGGCTTTCACGACACGAGAGCAGATCACTCAACGAAAACAGGTTGCATTGAACTTCAGAAATTTCCGCGTCAAATTTTAATAATTGACACATCTCAAGGTAGTAGATAATCTGCAGTAATGCACACTATAAAGTCTCGGCTGCTTAAAATCTGTGGGCTGCTGGTAGAAATTAGATATAGGAATAATTGTATTATTAAACTGTGTAATTATCAGTTTACAGTAGCTGCTTCTATCTCCATATGGACTGAGAATTTAAAAGAAAGTTTGCATCGTATGTTCTTCGCAGAACTTCTTACTTCTTCTTGACATTTTGAATTTCTCAATACACTGTAATCAGTATTAAGCTTTATAGGATATTTAAGTTGAGCATAATGAAGTGTGAGTAGTAATTGATATCCACCAGGGGCTGAACTTTCATGTAAGTCGTGTTAGCCCGGCTAACGGTGGAACATAGTCTTACTTTCGTGGTTAAATGTTAGGCATACGCCATACACTGAAACACAGTGAAAGAGTTAGATATACCAGCGAGTCCGCTGTCAGCCATTTAGTCCTGGCTTAACGTGGGCTTGCTGTTCGCGCAGGCGCATATAGAAGAGACACGGTGCGTTGTGGATGTGCTGGGTGTTAGCCGAACGTCTGATGTTAACAAAGTTCAGTCCCTCGCGTGATTTCACGATTTTGATTGCGTAACATTTATCGTACGCGTGTGCCATGCTGTGACTTGTGATTTTGAGCAGAAGATGAAGTGCGATGAAAAACCTAGTTTCCAAAATGTTCACGTCCCTCCTAGGGATTTGGCCAACTCTCTTGAAAAATTTACCCTCCGCCACTGACATGCATGTAGTTTAAGCGTGCGCACTCACGCACAAATTACTTTACTGTAATAAATGCATGGTTCCATGTGCTGTGTGATATTGAACTTGAAACCTGTTTAAATGTGCCGCCATAAGGAGATGTTGAGAAAAATTAGGATATTACAGCAGTGAATGATTTGTTCTGGCTAGCAGTGCATCGCCGGACTACAAAAATGGAATATAAAATAAATTATTCTCTATAGGTTTGTGACACTGGTTGAGTTAACCTTCCAGAGATAAAACTGAATGAATTCAGTGCGACAACTAACACTAGTAAAGCTTATTCCAGCAGTAAGATAAACAATATAAACTCTTTATATAATCAGTATTATGTATTAGGATATCATAAGTCGTTCATATTCTGTTTTATTATCTGGACACGCGCCTGACTGACTGAAAAGTTGTTAAGGGGGACGGTCACTTAGACGTAAAGATGCCATAAGCCTATTTTTACTTATTAAATAAGCTTAGCGGCTAAACGTAATGTGATAACTGTACTAGATAGGCCTAAAATTATGCAAATAGTTCTTTAAACAAACTGCAATAAAACACCTGAGTGAAGACCTTGAGTCTTTTTATTCCACAACACTTAACACATTAGCTTCAAAATAATGTACTTTTAGAAGTGTCTTGCTGTTGGAAATGTTTTAAGTAATTGTCTGTAATGCATGTATTTTTCGAACGTAGTCTGGTTGTGAAATTGTATGACGACAGTACGTAAAAAATGTCAGTGAAATTTTGTAACTGCAATTAATGTAATGTAATATAAAGTAGTATATTAATATGTCTAGTCATGTCCTCGCAAGGCGTCGGACCCAAAATTGTTACTTTTATTACAGTAGTACTGGATAACAATAAGAAGGTTAATTATATGTGAACGCTGAAAAGAATACAAACGGAAATTAAAAACACGTAAGATATGGAGGTACAAATATGCCTACTGTTAAAACTAATACGATCTCCAATTGCGGTATTGTCTTGTGGTTATCACCACGCTGTGGGGTGATAATGAACAAACCAATAACAGTATTAATAGTAATAATACGTCAAGTACTTACGTCTTAGTTAAAATACTATTGTGGTATTAACGCTCATTTATCTGTATTCTAACTTGAACAATTACTTTTATACGAGAAATTAATTTTGCTCTCACTTGCACACATATCATCAGCTTTCATACACACACGAGTTCACAATTGTGGCGTTCTCTTTCTTGTCACCTTGTATTGAATTTGAGCAGTTCATGATCACCTTGTAGCTCCATCTTAATGTTCACGCGCGCGACTTCGATTTTTTCCGAATTACACACTCTGTCGCCTCATCCAACCGGTAACCACAATGCCGCCGCGGTAACTGAGTGCACCGGGACAACTTCGGATGTGTCACACTTCCCCCACCCCCCACCCCGGCCGCCACCGCCGCACCCTTTCTGGCAACAATACATCTCCATGCTTTCCACTGAAGAAGGAAACTGTTGCTGGAACGATATCTCTTCCAAGAAGACGATATCTGAAACGATGCAGGCTTTAAATGAGCGGCAACTAGAGGAACTTTGTACTCTGAGATCGAGATTAAACAAAATTATCGTGAGGGGCGCCGTGTCTCTCGACACAAATTGGGAACATAATGAAATTTGA